AATGTTCAAGTAACTCACAAGAAAGCAAGCAAAAAACCGCCCAAAAACAACCAAATAAACAAAGAAAAAAAAACAGAGGAATGAAAAAAGGGGACAAATATAAAACAAAATACTAAAATGGCAGACTTAAGCTCTAACATATGAATGACTATTTTAAATATTAGTAGTATAAATACACCAATTAAAACACAGAGATCAGTTATTATTCAGTAAAGTTGGAAAAAATTAAGAGTGAAAAAAGGTAGAGACAGAGTGGGTAACACAAGACTCAATCACTTACAGTCAATGAGAAAAATGACTACAAAACAACACTCTATTACAGATACGTAGGAAAGATAAGGATGGGAAGGCTGTATCATGCAAATATGAATTAGAAAAAAAGCAAGAGTGATGATAATAACAAAAAAGGGCATCACAGAATGATAAAGACTCGGTCAACCCACCAAGATCCAGCGATCCTAAGTTTGTGTGTAGCACACCGCAAGGTTTCAAAACACACGAAGCAAAAACTGGTGGAGAAGAAAAGAGAAACAGATAAATTCACAGTTGTAGCTGGGGATTTCAAAACCCAGCTTACAACGTTTGCTAACCAACAAGGCTCCAGAGGAACAAACACCATGGCCCACTGGATTTGCCTGACATTACTGAATACTCTACCCAACAACAGCAGGATACACATCCTATGCAAGTCGCACGGGACACTCACCGGGAAGAAAGGCCAGATCCTCGGTCATACAACAAACCTTAACCAACCTAAAAGAATTGTAATTATACAGAGTATGCTTTCTAACCACAATGCAATCAAATTAGAAATCAGTAAGTTGGCTAATTGAATATAATAAAAATTTTTAAAAAAATCAGTAAGTGAAAGACAATAGAACAATCTCCAAGTTCTTGGAAATTCAACAACACACTTCTAAATAATCCCTGGGACAAAGCAGAAGTCTCAAAGGCAACTTAAAAATAAAAATGAATGAAGGTGAATGAAAATTGAAATGAAATTGAAAATACAACATATCAAATTTTGTGGGGTTCAGCTAATACGGTGTTTACATTAGAAAAGAGAAAATATATCAATCAATAATCTAAATTCCAACCTCAAGAGGCTGGAAAAAGAAGAGAAAGGAAAAATACAGCAACAAAAAAAGCAAGCAGAAAGAATGAAATTCAAAAAAAGGGCAGAAATCGCTGAAAATAAAAACATGAAAATGAGAGGATTAGTGAAACAAAAATTTGTCAAAAAAATCAATAAAATTGACAAACCCTTAGCTCAACTGACAAGGATAAAAAGAGAGAAGAGACAAATGACCAGTGTCAAAATGAAAGAAGGGCACCACAAAGGATCCTGCAGACATTATAAATCATAAATTTGTCACACATGTCAGAAATTTGACAACTTAGAAGAAATGGGCTAATTCCTTGAAAACCACAAACTACCAAAACCCAGCAAGATAAAACAGATACATGAATAGTCCTATAACCTCTAAAAAATAGGATCTGTAATTTAAAAGTTCCTGAAAAAAGGAACTTCCAGGTTCCAGATGTTTTCAAATACAGAATTTCTCCAGCATTTAAAGAATTAACACCAATTTCACAAAATGTCTGCCAGTGAAGAGAAGAGGAGGGAACACTTCCCAACTCATTTTATGAGGTCACTATTACCTTGATCAACGTATAACAAAGAGGACATACAAATAAAGCTATACATCAACATCTCTCATGAATTTAGATGCATAAATCCTCAACAAAACAGTAGCAAAATGAATCCAGTGACGTATTAGAACAAATGTACGTCATGAGCACGTGGGGTTTGTCCCAGGGATGCGAGGCTAGTTCAACATTCAAAAATCAACCAGTGTAATCCATCATATCAGCAGGCCAAACCACTTGCATGTCTATTTCTGTCTTGATGTCTGCTTCCCAGAGGATCCAAACTTCATTCATGTGCAACAATCCCGCAGCAACTTAAGTTGAGAAATATAACAGAGAGATTTTAGATGGATTTTCTTTACGATTCATTATCTGGTAAGGATGCCCAGTGCTGCTGCCGCCATTTAACATTATTCTGGGGATCCTGGGCAATGCTGTAACAAAAGAAAAGGAAATAACAAGTGTAATGAACATCTACCTAGAAAAAAACCAAAAGAACCACCCAACTGCAGTTGACCCTTGAACATGAGGGTTAGGGACACTGACACCTATGCTGCAGAAAATCCCCATGTAACTTTTTTTTTTTTTTAAAGATTTTATTTATTTATTTGAGAGAGTGAGAGAGAGAAAGAGCACAAGAGGGGGGAGCGGGAGAGGGAGAAGCAGACTCCCTGCTGAGCAGGGAGCCCGATGTGGGACTCGATCCCGGGACTCCAGGATCATGACCTGAGCCAAAGGCAGTCGCTTAACCAACTGAGCCACCCAGGCGCCCCCCATGTAACTTTTGACTCCCCCAAAACTTAACTACTAATAGCCTACCGTTGACCAGAAGCCTTACTGATAACACAGTCGATTAACACACATTTTGTATATTATGTATATTATGTACTGTATTTTGATGATAAAGTAAGCTAGAGAAAAGAAAATGTTATTAAGAAAATCATAAAAAAAAATACATTTATAGTAGTGTGCTGTATTTACTGGAAAAAATCTACATATAAGAGGGCCAGCACAGTTCAAACCCATGTTGTTTAAAGGTCAACTGTATTAGAACACGTACAGAAGTTCAGCAAGTTTTCCAGATCAATTTACGAAATTAATGGTCTTGTGCTTGCTTCGGCAGCACATATACTAAAATTAGAACAATACAGAGGTTAGCATGGCCCCCTTACATGGATGACACTCAAATTAGTGAATTGTTCCATGTTTTTATTAAGGAGGGTGCTTGCGATGAGCACAGTGTGTTGTATGTTAAGTGTTGAACCACTAAATTCTACACCTGAAACTAGTATTACAGTGTATGTTAACTAACTGGAATTTAAATAAAAACTTGGGGGGGAGAAAAAGGAAAAAAAACTGATGGTCTTTCTCTATGCCAGCAGTAAGTGTACTAAATATAATAAAAGATACAAATTATGATGACTAAAAGTATAAAATATCTAGAAATTATCCAAGAATCCAAAATCCTTTTATGGGGAAACAAAAACTCTAATAAAGGAGATTGAAGATCTGAATAAATACAAAGACATCCCATGCTCTTAGATAGGCACATTTCATATTATAAGATGTTGATTCTTCATAATTTAATCTATGAATGAAATGCAGTATCAGTCAAAATTCCAGCTGGTATTTTTCAAAGGAACTCAACAAAATTATTTAAAAATACATATAAAGACATAAAAATCTATGAATATCTAAGTAAATTTTACAGAAAACAAAGGGTGGGTGTGTTCTGCCAGATACTGAGACATGCTAAAGGGCCATATTTTATTTTAATTTATTTTTTTATTTTTTAAAGATTTTATTTATTTGAGAAAGAGAGTGAGAGAGTGGGGGGGGGTGCAGAGGGACAAGCAGACTCCCTGCTGAGCAAGGAGCCCAGAGTGGGACTTGATCCCAGGACCCTGAGATCATGACCCGAGCTGAAAGCAGACACTTAACCGACTGAGCCACCCAGGCACCCAAGGGCCATATTTTAATAAAGACATACTGAAATTGACACAAGAACAGATGAATAGACCAAGGGAAAATGACGACTTGAAGGTGACCCACATGTTTGTATGAGACTCAGCATAAGATAAGGTATAAAAATAAATTAATGGGGAAACAACAGACTGTTTAGAGAATGACTTGGGAATACAGAATATAGAAGAAAAATAAAATTGGGCCCCTACCTAATCCCAGACCTAGAGGCATAGATAAAGTCCTGAATGTGAAAGATAGAGTCCGGAAATCAATAGAGAGCAAAGAATGCTAAAAAGTCCTCAAACAAAAGCATAAACTGTAAGGAAAAAAAATCAATGGCTCTCATTACATCACAATTCAGGCTTCTGCTCAATGAGAGAGTTAAGACACAGATGGCAGGTCTTTAACAACACAGCTTCATGAAACTATACAGGGTTGGGTCCCTGGGTGGCTCAGTTGGTTAAGCGACTGCCTTTGGCTCAGATCATGCTCCTGGAGTCCCAGGATCGAGTCCCGCGTCAGGCTCCCTGCTCAGCGGGGAGTCTCCTTCTCCCTCTGACCTTCCCCCCTCTCATGTGCTCTCTCTCTCTCATTCTCTCTCTCAAATAAATAAAAACCTAAAAAAAAAAAAGAAACTACACAGAGTTATTGCCTAGCGTAAACCGGGAGCTAATAGAAAAATACACCAGGGAAGGGGGTAATTCAAATAGAAAAATGGGGAAAGGATATGTACAAAACATTTTCAAAATAGGAGATCCTAATTATGACTTCAGGTTGATAAATGAGGAAATGGGGGCATAAAATTATTTACACAAATGTTTTATTCTCCAGAAGGAACAAAGGGGAAATGTTTTAAGGGGTTGCCTCCTGATAGCGCGGCTGAGTGTGGGAACTGTTGGGGTGGAAATCCTTCGATACAATTTGATTTTTTTAACCATGTTTTTAAGCATGTTTTACTTTGCTGACATTTTTAAATTTAATTTTTTTTTTTTTTTTTAAGTAGGCTCCACAGCCAGCATGGAGCCCAATGCAGAGCTCGAACTCAAGACCCTGAGATCAGGCCTGAGCTGAGATCAAGAGTTGGATGCTTAACCGACTGAGCCACCTAGGTGTCCCGACATCTTTAAATTTTAAAAGAAAAGGAACTAACAGCAAATAGCCTTATCCACATCTTTCAGAAAGTTAAATATCTCACTCAAGAGTCACCCAGACTGAAAACGTTGCATAAGAATGAAAATTTAAAAATATTCCCAAAATGATGGCAACATCTTCTTCTTCTCAGGATTATATATAATCAACAAACAGAAGTAGCACAATGAAAATGTGACTTTGCATAAGAAGCTATGATTTGGTGTTTTCTTCACTTAGCACAATGCCTGTTTTTGGGATTCATCTATATTGTAACACGTGTTAGAAGTTTATTTCTAATTTTTAATTGCTGAATTGTATTCCACTGTATGGATATACCACTTTTTGTTTGTTGGTTCAATTGGCATTTGGATGGATTCGTTTGGGTCTATTATGAATAACACTGCTGTGAACGTTCATGTACAAGTGTTTGCTTGAGCTTGTGTTTTCATTTCTCTTGTGAGTGACACTGCTGGCTCATTTGGGAAAGTTATGCTAACTTCTTAAAATACTGCCTAACTGTTTTTCCAAAGTAGTTGCACCATTTTACCTTTTCACCAGCAGTGTATGAGGTTTTCATTTTTTCTCTATCTTGCCAATGGCTGGTATGATCTTTTTTATTATACTCATTCTAGTGGGTGTGAAGTGGTATCTTGGTAGTTTCAATTTGCATTTTTCTAATGATTAATGATGTCGAATAGGTTTTCATGAGCTTTTTAGACACTAACTGGCTCTTGGTGAAATGTTTTCCACCATTTTAAAATGAGGATTTTTGATTTCTTATTTCTTCATATACATGGATACACATCCTTGATTATATGTTTTGCAAATAGTTTCTCACAGTCTGTGGCTTGTCTTCATTTCCTTCATTCTGTCCTTTTGAGAGCAAATTTAAAACATTTTAAAACTTTTTTTTTTGATATAGAGAGAGACCTGGGTGGGGTGCAGAGGGAGAGGGAGAGATAAAGAGAATTTTAAGTAGGCTCCAGGCCCAGCACGGGGTTCGATCTCACAACCCTTAGATCACAACCTGAGATGAAATCAAGAGCCAGATGCTTAACCAACTGAGCCACCCAGGCACCCCAATTACGTTTGTTTTTGTTTGTTTTTTCAGTAGGCTTCATGCTAGTGCGGGGCTCAAGCTCACAACCCTGAGATCAAGAGTTGGACACTTAACCAACTGAGCCACCCAGGAACCCCTGCAAATTTAAAAAATTTTAATGAAGCTTATCAGTGTTTTTCTTTGGCCCATGCTTTTGGTGTTCTACATAAGAAATCTTTGCCTAACCAATGATTTAAAAGATTTTCTCCTATGCTTTACACTTTATAGTGTAACCTGATATTTAGGCTTTGGGTCCATTATGTGTTGATTTTGTATATAGTGTGAGATAAAGGTCTACTTTATTTATTCTTAAAGATTTTATGTATTTATTTGAGAGAGAGAGAGAAAGAGCAGTGAGAGAGAGAGTGAACACGAGCTGGGGGGGGCGGTGGTAGAGGGAGAGGAAGAAGAAGGCCTCCTGCAGAGCAGGGAGCCCGATGCGGGACTTGATCCCAGGACCCTGGGATCATGACCTGAGCCGAAGGCAGATGCTCAACCGACTGAGCCACCCAGGCACCCCATAAGGGTCGAATTTAAATCAAGGCATCATAAATGCAACACTCGGTCTGATGGCTATGGGGGGAATCTGTTCCTGGCCCCTTCCGGCTTCTGGTGGTTGTTGGTGTTCCTCTCCTTGTGGCTACTCACTGCAGCCTGTCTTCATATGGCCTTCTCCTCTGGGGTGATCTCCTCTGTCTAAGGCTCTTTTTGCCTCTATCTTAGAAGGACATGTGTGGTGGCGTTTTGGGCCCACCATTGTAATTCACAGCAATCTCATCTCAAAATCTGTAACTTCTTCACAGGTGCACAGACCCCTTTTTCCAGATAAGATAACATTTACAAGTTCCAGGGATTAGGACTTAATTCTTTGGGTGGCCATTATTTGACCTACTAAAATACCCAATTCTCTCAGCAACATCTGTTGAGAAGACTATCCTTTTCCCTTGGAATCGGGACTTCGGCACTGCTGAAAATCAACTGACCATAAATGTAAGGGTTTATTCCTGAAGTCTCAACTCTGTTCCATTGATATATCCTAGTATCAGTACATACTGTCTTGCTAACTGCAGTATTATAGTAAATTTTAAAATCAGGTAGTGTAAATCCTTCAACTTTATTCTTTTTAAAAATTGTTTTGGCTACTATAGGTCTCTATTTTCATATAAATTTCAGGATCAGCTTGATTTCTGCATAAAAGTCTGCTGAAATTTTGATAAGGACTGCACTGAATCTCTAATGTGGGAAATCTTCCAATCTATGAACACGGAATATCTTTCCATTTACTTAAATCTTTGTCAATTTCTCATAGCAATATTTTGTAATTTTTGTATTTTTCAGTGTACAAGTCTTTACCTTTTGTTAAATTTATTTTGAGGCTATTATTCACAGAATTGTTTCCTTAATTTCATTTCAGATTGTTTGTTGCTAATATACAGAAATACAACTCATTTTTATATATTGGTCTGGTATCTTCTGATCTTTTTTTTTTTTTTTAAGCACAGTAAGGCATCTTTATTCATGTGTCCCATTGATTCATGATAACAAAAAGATGGAATCCCTTCTTCCAACAGTGGCTTAAGAGGATCTTCCAGAATTAGCCATGTGTAGGAATCCTTGACAAATTAAGCCAGCCAAATACAAGTTAGCTACATCGAAGAGTGCATAATCTATATTATTCCACTGAAAATACGGTTATAGAAAACATTTCCAATTAACATATCAATGCTGAATTGTTTTCTTTTTATATTTCATTAATAGAATGATGGAACAAGGAACAGACCTCTTCATTTATCTAGTACAGTGCTTTCATGTTCTAGAAAAGGGAGGTGGATTCCAAAGAGATTACATGAATTGTTTAAGGTTACTCAACTTGTCATACAGTTGGATCCAGATCCCTGATATCCTGGTTCTCCTACTGTGGTCACACTCTTTCTGATTTCATCCCAGGTTAACATGTCCCAAAGGATAGGAGTTGTTCTCAATGCTGGCTACATATTTATCTTCTGATCTTGCTAAACACATTTATTACTATAGTTCTTTATATAGATGCCTTAAGATTTTCTATATATATTGTCATCTGCAAATAAATTTACTTCCTTTTTTCCAGTCTAATTCCTCCCCTGCCATTGCACAGGCTAGATTCTCCAGTAAAATTGTGACTAGAATTTAGGACTGTTTGTGTCCATGTTCAGGAGGAAAGTATATGTAGTTTTCTTTTCTTGTAATTTGTTTGGCTTGGTATCACATCTCCTCCTTTTTTCTGAAAGAAATTTGTGAGTGATTGGTATTTTTAAATGTTTGATAGAATTTACTAGTAAAGCCATCTAGACCTGGACATTTTTGTGAGATTTGAAATTTCTCATTCAATGCATTTGTTATACTTTTATTCAGATTTTTATTTCTCATAGAATTTATTAATCTGCGTCTTCCTTGGAATTCATTCACGTAGTCTAATTCATTGGCATAAACTTATAATACTCTTATACTCTTCTTAATTTCTGTGGAAATGGTAGTGATGTTGACCCTCTAGGTCTTTTGGTAACTTGTGTCTTCTCTGTTACTTTCTTGGTCAGTCCAGCAAGGGTTTGTCAAGTTTCATTAATTTCCTCTATCTTTCTATTTCTATTTTATTGATTTCCTCTCTATTCTTTATTTCTTTTCTTCAGGCCTCGTCTGCTCTTCTTTTTCCAGTTTCTTAGGGTGGAAGCTTAGGTTATTGACCGGAAACCTTTTCTTTTCTGATACAGGCATTTAAAGCTACAAATTTCCTTCTCCCCACTGCTTTAGCTGTGTCACATAAATTTTGTTATATTTAATCAGTTCAGAATTAAGAAGCTTCCCTTGTGATTCTTTGATCCATGAGTTATTTAGATACTTGGGGTTTTTCCAGTTTTCTTCTGAGAATCTCTGACCTAATTGTGTTGTGGACAGAGAACATATACTTTTTTGTGATTTCAATCTTTTTAAATTTATTGAGACTTGTTTTACAGCCCAGCATGTGTTTATCCTGAAGGCTTTCATGGACAGTTGAAAAGACCATGTGTTCCGGAGTTTCTGAGTAGAATGTTCTACAAATGTAGGTAGGTTTGCTCATGTTGGTTGATAGTGTTGTTCAGGCCTTCTTTATATACTAACTTTCTTGCTGTTTGTTCTATCAGTTATTTAGGGTGGGCTTTTTCAAATTTCCAACTATTACTGTTAAATTATCTATTCTTTCAATTATGCCAGTTTTGCTTTATGTATTTTAGGACTCTATTTTTAGGAGCATATACACTTATATGTTATAACATAAATATATGTTATATTTTCACTATGCATTGACACTTTTATCATTCTGTAATGTCTCTATTTGTAGTAATACTTCTTGTCTTAAAAGTCCATTATTTTTCTAATACTGATACCAGTCACTCCAGCTCTCATATGGTTCTTGATTACACGGCAAATTTTTCATCTCCTTAATTTCTACTTATTTGTGTCTCTGTGAAGTGTATCTCAGCATAATTTATTTTTTTTAACATAATCTGCCAACCTCAGCCTTTTGAATGAATTGCTTTGTCCATTTATGTTCTAATGCAATTATCTATATGGTTGGGGTTTTGCGGTTTCATATGGATTTTTGTACCTCTATTCTTCCTTTTATTGCTTTCTTCTGTTATTTTTCAGTTTACTGTTTTAATTCTAATTTCCCCAGTTATTTCTTGATCAGAAGGAGCTGTCCCCTAGCAGATTCCTCAGGAAGGGCTTATGAACACAACATTGAGCTCTAACTTTAAATTTTCTACCAACTTCTTACTTTTGAAAGACTGCTTTTCTGGATACTTGGTTCATATTTCTTTTTCCCTTGAATCTTGACAATGTTGCTCCACTTGTTTTCCTTTGTATGTTGCTTTTCAGAGATGACTTTTTATTTTTAAACCTTCTACCCCATTTTCCTCTTTACGAGGCACTAGGTAGGAAAATGAAGTTTAGGTATTCTCTGCAGCATAATCCATACTGTAGGTGTGTGTTATGAATGATTTTATTTGATATTCTCATAAAGACAGTGTTTTGGGAAGATGGAGATAACTGAAATGTAGGTGGCCATAATCGTCCTCACACATTCTGTCTTCTGGGACCTTCTAAAACTAAGGTTTTACGTACACAAGGAAAGAGGGCGTCAGGCCTGCACATCCAATGATTACAGTCTTCTTTCATAGATTTAAAGATGCACCTTTTCCACAGACATTACATTTGTTATTGAAATGCATCCTACAACTGGCATATTACATTCAGTGATATAGAAAACAAATGCATATGGTCCCGTTTGTGGAGTTCTAGCTTTGAAATACTGCTCTCTTTTGTGTCCCAACCTGTCCAGAGCCCCACATTTCCTCAGTTGGCACCTAGCTGTAGATAGGGAGGGGAGCAGTCACTTGGCTTTTCCCACCCGTGGGCACCCGTGCCGAGTGAAAATGGTCCCCAAATGGCTTCCGCGCGGCCTGCCCCAGCCAGGTCACGGACAGAGCCCTCCAGAACCTTCTCACTGGTTCTCAGAGAAATGTGTGCCCTGCTTCAGATTTGAGAGGAGTTTTCGCTCAGCATTCCGCCTCAGTTTTATACAATTTTGTTATTCCTAGCATATATTTTTTTTGTGGTGTATATAACTGGATGTTGGTCACTGTGTAGTTTTAATAGAAAGACTTTAGTTTTGTTTTTTTGTTGAAAATGCTGATGTTCCCAAGGGCTAAAGTTAAATGCTGTGTGTTGTTTCCACCATCTTTCCAGGAGCTTCTGTCGTTTTTAAAACATAGCAATGAACATCTAGATGTTGAAATGTTGACACAGAAAATATTATGAAAAGAGCTGAAAAGTTGCTATCATGATTTGCTAATGACAACAGCAGCTCAGGCTTCTGTGCTTAGTGGCCCAGGCTCCACCAGTAGGAACCCAGAGAATTCCAGACACTATACACTGACAAAAGGCACTAAGACATTTAACTAGTATTTTCTAAACACAGACACCAAGAATACCACCCTACAAATGCAGAAAAGTTAAAATCAAGAGACTGTTCTGTTGAATATATTACACATGCAAATAGACTGATTATCAGGAATGTAGGTTTATTTCAATAAAAAAAGATTCACCCCCAAAGAGAGTACCTTGCAGCAGCAGTCACAAGGCACGGATGTATGAAGTGCCTCAAGCAAAATAGAAACTGAACATTAAAAAAATATGTTATTTAAAAAGACGTTGAAGACCATTTGTTAATAGGAACATAGACTATAAAAATGGCATTCTTATACATTTTTTAAACAATTTTATTCCTTTACCTTTACTAAGACAGGAAACAATGGTGTAATGTTTACGCACTACCTTGTGGCACCCAGCACAAACATTTACAGCACGGAACCTGGTTTGCTAAAGAAAAAAAAGATAGCTAAAGTACAGCTTAAAAACTTTATTTTTAGTGCGTTCACATTTTTAGATATTTGAAATCCATAGCTAAAAGGAAAAGTAATTTTCCTTAGCTTAGAAAAAGACTGTAGTTATATATCCTTAGGCAAACCACTCCACAAAAAAGGAATACATTCAAGATATTCTAAAATATCAAGGACATGATTTCTAGTCTAGGAACATCACAGTAACCCTCTTCCTAAAACAGATCAGAAGTCAACACATAATAAATGTGAAGGTCAATTATATTAAAATAAAGTAGTATTTGATTTAAATTATTGATCACTTGGGAAATACAATGAGTACTCATTCTCCGGTTAGGTATGTTAAGATTAGCTATTAGAAATGGTGTAACATCAATATTTAGTGTGTATAAAAATTTTAGGATTCAAATATATTACAATGAAAAGTTTATCATAATCGCACAAAAAGTGTTTCCTTATATATTAGCCACCACAGAGCTGCACAGGACGAAGGCTGAAAAAGATGCGGTTGAATTAGACCCTTGAGAACAGGTTTTGTGTCCTAGACGGTGAGGTGTTCCTCCAAGCTCTAATGCTGCAGAGACGTTATTCTAGGAAACGTTAAGGAGTGCCTGCACGCTCTTTACTATCGGAGGGAGAGAAGATAAACCGGAGCTCCATTTTTAAACAACAAAAAAAGAATATAAAATACTAGTATAATAAAACATTTAAACAGTACTAAATAGCACAATTTAAATACCAGTTATATGCTGTCATTAGTTTTCTTCTTAAAAAAATCAGTTCCTGGGCTTTCAGATGTGTTTTCTTTTTAAAAATAACCAGCATCCTCCTCGTGGCCGGGCGCCAAGTCCACGTCCACGCCCACGCCCGGGGGCCACCCCTCCAGGTACCCGCAGGGCTCTCCCAGGTCACAAGGCAGCGACGCAGAGGCCTGTGCGTGTGCTGCGGGGCGGCTGCCCGCCTGGCCCTAGGACCCGGCCTAGAGCAGCACAGCCTGGGCCACCTCCTTGATTGTGCGCGCGGCTCTCTCCAGTTCTTCGTCTGTTTGCTCCACTGTGACCACAACCCTAATGCTGAGAAATAACGACACAGAAAATCGTCAAAGGAGAGTCTAGGGCACCTGTTTTGTCAGTCAAGTTCTACTGGCACATGGCCCCACTCATTAGTGGGCCTACTGTCTACAGCCACTTCCTCACTGCTCAGCGGAGTCAAGTGTGCCCACGGTCTGGCCAGTTACAGAAGTCTGCCACTCCTGGCCCGACTGCTGGTGCATCTAGTCAGGGAAGCTCGTGGTGGGGCTCTGCCCGGGGGTGCCGGGAATCCCGCCCTTTACATCATCTACTGCTCTGAGCACCACCAGGCCCGAAGCTGGAATTCAGTACATCTCAAATCAAGGAGTGTCTGCGTGCCCGTGCTCACTTACAGTTCAGTAAGTCATGCAGAAGTTCTGTAATACTTGAGGCAAGGCAGACATTTTTAAGTTTTCAGGAAACCGAAGACCAAAACTATCAGTTTGACAGGGCACTTCTGCCTCTTCTCCCCCACTTACTTCCCTCTGCAAACATCTGTATCATCCACTGGACACCTGCACTGAGCTGTGCTGTGCTGGGCAGGGAGCCCCGAGGGCACAAAGCAAGTGTGGCCCCTGTTCTGAAACATAGGCTCACGGCTTTGCCTGGGTGCAATCAGACAGGAGAGGGCAGGATCTTTAGGGCCCCTCCAAGCTGCTGCCAATGGTCTTCCAGAATCCCAGTCTGGCCCTCCGTGTCTGCACAGTGCTCGGGACTCCAGAGTCTTCCCGGACCCCCCGGGCTTTCCCCATTCTCCAGGGCCCTCTCACTTGTCCCTCTCAAGCTAGTGCTCTGGCCCCCCAGACGCACTTGAGGGTCTCCATACCACCGCACACCCTGCTAGAAGGTGGTACCAACAAGTCTGTCTGACATACTTGATCTTTTGGGTTTGGCTTGAGCATCACCTACTCTTAGAAGCCTGAGTCCCTTCCAGGTCAGAATGAATCATGCCCTCCTCCTCTGACCTCACCGACCTTGTGCTATGACCCTGAGCCCTTCGTGCTCTGGGTGTCTACTTCCTTCGACTATACTTGAAGTGCCGATGAATGAGCACCAATTTTAAATCAAGAGTCCAAGTGCTCTCCCATGTACGGCTTCTTGAACCTCTCTAGATCTTCCCCACTGTTGTTTTGTTTTTCCCTGGGTGGTTTATATGTGTTTGCCAGGTGAAGTACCACACAGCGCTCCAGCCAGCAGTGGGGTCAACACCACCGTCTGGATGTGCCCCTCCCACAGGACGGCCCTCACGGCGGACGTGGCTGGCACAGCGCGTGCAGCTTAGGGTCGTGGTAGACCTCTGCGGATCAGAACTTCGGCTGTCCCAGCTCAGTCCTGGGGTCTCACACACTTCTTTGAGTTAACTGGGAGGGTACAGTGAGTCCTGGGGGGTTGCTTTACAGTTAAAAATTAAAAAATGGCCAGTTTAAGAACAGAAAACAGATGATGTACTATAGTACACATTCTTCCTTATCCTGTGATAGTCTTTCAAACATTTTCAGAACTGAATACATTTTATAGAGTTCTGAAAGTAGGAAAAACAAGTCACGTCACAGTTTAACGTCCACCAACCTTGGAGGAGGGAGGCACTTCTCTTCTTTCTCCAGGTAGCGTGCCTGGGTTAATGCGATGCTTCTGTCCATGCACTGTATGAAGAAGAGGGACACGTTTGCAAGCTGGGCTGCGGACACTGTGCTCATTACAACAGGAAGGTACTCTGAAATGGTATCCTTAACCACAGCATTCATTCATTTTTCCAGTTACAACTGTGAGAAGGCAAAACAGCAATACCAGGACCCTGTCCTGAGCAGCCCCAAGCGACATGACTGCCCTGCAGCGGCGCCCTCCACTCTGGACCGCCCAGGGCACCGCCGTGAGCCATGGGGCTGTCCAGCACCGTGCGACAGGGCTAGTGCCACCGAGAGACTCAACTTTTAATTTTACTCAATTTAAATAGCCACAGGAAGCTAGGAATTTCCATTTTAAACAAAGCAGAAGAAGGACATGGGGAAATAGTCCCAGCAAAGCCCCAGGAATGAACCAAAAGTTGGACTTAATAGTAACACCATGTGAATGGTTTCAGAGACAAACTGGTCACACTTCAAATATGAGCCATTCCTCTGATTTCCGTGGGCTCCCTTCGAGCAGGTGCTACCAGGCCAGAAGTCTGGTGTCACCCATTTTTTGCATAGCTTTCTCATACCTTAACCACTTGTCAATTTTTTTTAAAAGTTCAAACATGCTCTATCAAAATAAAGAAAGTATGAGAATCAGATTGAAGTCACGGTTGATCAGGGTTTCTTTTTGGGTGATGAAAATGTTCTGGAATGAGGTGGTGTACAGCCTTGTGAGTGTACTCAAAACCACTCAGCTGTATTATTTTAAAAGGGTGAATTTTCTGGTCTGTGCATTATATTTAAAAATGCATCAGTCAGAGCCAGGGGACTGATAAAGGAAGGAGCAAGCACCCCCAGGGCTGGGCAGTGAGGGTGTCTGCCCGAAGAGGGGCCCCGCTGTCCGCCGCCAGGCGGGCTGTGCGCTGCTGCATGCCCGACGGAAACCACCAGCAGGCAACACGGCAGACTCCCACTCATGCTCCATCTGCAGTATACTCGGAGGAGTTAACTCCTGAACACATCTGGACTGGCTCTGTTCCTAGCCCTGGTTAGCTAAGGAACATTATAAACCATCGCTCAGTTTGTAAAAACAGTGTCTCGTCAAGCAACTCAACGAGCACTTGGCAAGAGCTCTGTGTTGTGCAAACCTCACATGACGGTCTGCACCACAGCTGTCTCCTCTCTCTCCAATACTGACCGGGCAGTGCAGCAGAGCTCGAGACGAGGACGCAAACACACTGCAGGACTGCTCTTCTGTGCACAAGGGCAGTTTCCAGACTGTATTTTGTCCCTCCCCCGAGGCCCTGCTCCCTGATTCATGAGGGATCTCATGAGGAGGTCTTGGAGAGGCCCGGCCTCGGGCTGGGGCCTCAGACGGAGTCTGGCATCCGTGAGTTGTGCAGACTCTCGCCTCCTCTTCCGTTCTGAGGACAAGACGCACAAGTGTGGCCCGCGTATCCCATGCTTCTCTCGCCTGCCCTCGGCAGTGTCTCTGGCACAAGCAGAAGGAAGACCCCACTGCTGTTCTCTCTAAAGAACCGAGGGGGCTCTCACGTGGAACGGGCGTGGAGCCGGTCCAGAGCGCCATCCCGAGGGGGGCCGGCGGGGGCTGGGGTGACGGGGCTTGCGGCTCCGAGAGGATGCCCTGCAGCCGTCGGTGTCAGGCACCCCGCTGGGCAATCTGCTTAGCGCACGAGCTCAGCGGTCACACGAAGCCAGTGTGACAGCTCTTACTGCCGCGTCCATTTAGCTTGCATCTAACTTATAAACTGTTTTGGTGCCACATAACCCCAAGGATGCTGGACTTTGTTTACGTCCGCATAGACTCACGTGACCTCACGGTACAAGTGCCGAGGTGGTAAAAGGTGCCTCTGGGATGTTTCTTCCCCTGAGAGGGAGTCTGTCTTTCTCACGCTTGCAGAGCTGTACCCAAGGGGACACTTGTGGCACCTCTGCACTCAGAAGGTGACAGTCACTGCAGCCTGACTGCTCATAATCACACACATTTCCTTACTTAAGAATCTCAGATTCTGCGTTTGGTTTTGTTTTATGACATGACCGACTCCAGAAGGCCACAAACCGCACGAAGCTCTCCACGATCCATCCTTCACGCTGTGGGACACAGGACAGCTAAAGCAAGCTGGGACGCAGAGGGTGGCGTCACCCTTGGTCTCCACAGAGCAGTGATGTGACCAGGGAGAGAGGCCTGACCCCCTGGCCACAGCAGGGCAAAGGCTCACGGCAGAGGACAGCCATCACCCTGACGCCCGGTGGCAGGGCCTCGGAGCAGAGGCCCCTGGAAGGAACCATCAGGACGAGCAGCACAGGGAGGCAGAACAAAGCCTGCTTCCATTCTCAAATGCATGCTAGCTGCACTGAAGAGTCAGGTGAAGGCAGGGCCACCCCAGCACGCTTGTTCAAGGGGCTGCACGGCCCCTTCCGTTCCTCTGTGAGGAGGAGCGGTTGCTGCATGGAGGCAAGGGAGCGGGGCCGGGCTCCAGGAAACCAGCTCTACTGAGCACAGAAGGGCAAGCAGTCTTCCCCAGAGAGGCATTTCTCAGTTAATAACTAAGTTACAATTACTAGTAAAATCACTTTCAGGAGATAAAGATATTTAAGTCAACCTCCAAATCAGGCCTGGTAAAGGAGTGGTCTTTCTTCCTTTCTGGTTACAAGAGTATTTTGACCTGTCTCTGAGCTATGTTGGGGTTTCAGTACAGACAGCTGTCCAGTGCTCTGTGGGATTGTGACTCATAACGCCACCCCACCTACATGTATGAAAGCCTGGCTTTGGACACTAAGCGAATGGGTTTTCTGGAAAGCTAATCATTTAGACATTTAAACACTGCGTGGGGTCAAGGCAGAAGAACTACATACTTACATGATTTACAATCTCCTGAAGTAGTTTAACGTCTTTTTCTCGAGACCCAGTGCTGTCTGTTAGCTGCAGGTGAAATGCTGGAGAAAGGGACTCCCCCACCACTTTTAACCCAGAGATGCTGAAAGCAAACACACATGCAAGCTTAAGTCCCTTCCAGGTGCAAAGATATCCCACATCTAAGTAATCGTACAAAGTCTGCATTAATGAATGGAACAGAAGCTTGTGGCTTTTCGGGGGAAGCATCATGTGGTGGCTCCAATCCCGACAGACACAGCTGAAATCCATGCTCTGGGCAGGGCTCGCTAGTCTAGGATGTGCCTACAAGGCCGCTCTGTGAGTGTGGCTGCAAGGCAGGTCCATGTCCTAACGGACACCTCTGGCTCACACCTGCAGGCCGCTCCCTCCTCTCTGCCCGCAGTTCCCCTCCTCATCTGCCCCTCTCCCTGTGTTCTGCAGCTGGCCAATAAGCCAGATCCCAGGCTGAGGACCACCTCCTGGGGCCTCCCTCCCAAACCACTCTTCTAGGGAAGTAGTAGTTTCCTACTACTGTTTCCTTCATGACTACTTACTATTGATAATGTTCCCTTGTTTATTATCTCAGTCTTCAGCTGTATCTTGTCTTTCATAAATTATAGGGATGAATTCTGATATTAAAAACATTGCATTTTGACCATCATAAGTGTGTTTAGATTGTATAGTTCCCTTCTTATTTGCATGTTTTCTGTTAAGTTTTACTTGAATCATGACTATTTTCATCTTTCTTAGGATTTAACAGCACAGACATCTGCAGCTTCTCAGGGAGGGAGAGAGATTTCTTTAGGGGTAAAATCCTGTATTTTCAAATGATTATTACAGATGTCAAGAGAACTGCAGGTCAGGTTCACTTAAAGTTCATTTTTATCCGATACTAATAATAGTTTGATTTTTGACTCATCTCCTAGGTTATAAATGGTGATACATGACCATCTGAAATTGAGCTAAACATTTTTAAATTTTTTAAAATTAAAAAAAAAAGCTTTTATTTATTTGAGAGAGAGAAAGAGCGCACACACGAACAGGGGGAGTGGCGGGCACAGGGAGAAGCAGACTCCCTGCTCAGCAGGGAGTCCAACATGGGGCTCAACCCCAGGACCCTGGGATCATGACCTGAGCTGAAGGCAGACGCTTAACCAACTGAGCCACCCAGGCACCCCTGAGCTAAACATTTCAGACTGCCTCTGTTTAGCTAGCTTCACTTGGAAAGATTTGCTTTTCCCTTAGAATGAAATTAGCACATAAAGCACTTTGTAGCACATTTGATTCCTTAAGCACATTTAGGACTCACCAAGCTTTACTGAATGACTACTGTGTGTCAAGCATCATGTGAGGTGCCAGAAGCCAATTGCACCTGCCTTTCAAACCACCAGTGAGCACTATAATTTGTCTCCTTTCCTTAAATGTAATGTATCCTACTAGGACCTCTCAATAAACCAGGCTGCAGAACAGCACAGGAAAAAATAATGCAATCAAATAGGGTTTTACTCCAGAATACAATAAGTTAACACCAGAAAAATTATAACAATGTAATTCAGCGTAAGACTAATCTATGATTTTTAAAACGCCTCCAAATCTAGGAATAATTTGATAAATACCACCTACAGAAAACTTACAGTATGCTATTTCATACTTAATGAAGAAATGTTTTTATACTGTGAATGACAGATATACCACCACTGAGACAAAAGATGTCAATAGCATGTTAGTGACCTACACCAATGCAATAAGAGAGGAAAAATTATTAAGATGTTTAAGAATCTGGAAGGAAGAAAGAACCATTATTCAGATAATAGGACTTTTATATACATCATCATAAACAGAATGAAACAAACCACTAGAAGGAGTTTGGAAGGACTGCTGGATATCAGATCATGAGGACAAAGTGCAAACTCCAGAGAAGACTAGCTACTAGGAGAAGTGGCAACTGGCTAGCAGCTGGAGGAGAAGGTGGGGTCTTCGAGGGAAAGAAGCAGTTGAGACAAGAGGGTGGAGTGTACTCAATGCTAATCAAATGACTCCCGAGAGGGTGACAAAAGAGAGGAGACAGCCAAAGGCGCTGGGCCCTTGAGGGGGAAGAGCTATGATGGCAGGAGGCATATATTCAGCTGTAACCTGAGGGAAGACTGGTTCAGACGCCTGTGTGTGTACAGATTTGTGAGGGAGGATGTGGGAGTCCTAGTGACAGCAATGAAGCCAGGCTGTTTGCTAACAGTGGGTGGAGTGCAGACAGGGGGCTGGGGACCCAGGAGGGGAAAAAGGTGGGAAAGAGTGGGTAAGGTGGAGGGCTGGGCTTACAAGATGAACACCATAATACCACTAGACAGAATGAAGGGCACCTGAGGTTGGTGTTCCTAAATTTACAGTGACTCCAACATGCTGTACTGTGCTGGCATATTAATATTTTATAAACCAAAGTAACTGGGACCAACACAAATAATGTCTCCTAACCATAAATCATGCAAGAAGAACTTTTGTTACTATCATGTAGACACACCCAGAACTTTAATTATTTCTGCCCCTACTTATCTGGAACAGCTGTGATCTGCTCATTTATTCACTGTCCTTGTCCTTTACAGAAGCTTCGAGTTTCCACATCTGTCAATAGGTAGGACTTTCATGATTGAAAAGACATATTTCCACCTTAAGTAAGGCAAAAGGAAATACCTCGGGCAACGTGAGATCATTTTCTGTAAGACCAGGAATCTGCCTGAAGCTGTCACCAACCTGAATTTTTTCTCCATTCCAGAGGAATCTTATAGAGCTACTCTTGTGTAGTTAAGACAAACACAAGTAAAAACTCGAAAGGTTCATTTCAATTACACCTGTTTTTCTTAATTTAAAATAAAACTTAGTAATTTTCTAAAGAGTATGGCCAGTATGAACCCACTGTCACCTAATTCCATAACATATAATGATATCATTTTATCTGTACAGATGTGGAGAGATTCTCCCATGTTTACCCAAAGTTATTTCTGGTGGTAGCATGTTTGGTGGTTATTTTCATCTTTGTACTGTATGTACTGCTATATTTTTAGTGAGCTTGTATTCTTTTTAGAGAAACAGTCATGATTCTTCAACCACAAAATAGATGTTCTGGCTTCAAGCCCACAGACAAATCTGACTGAATGGAGTTTCTCCTTTCTTAGTTGTAATTTAGTCAAACTGATCCAAGCCTATTAAATATACTCAAAACCAAAGAGGTGACATTCAAAATTTTTCACTAGTTGTTTAAATGTGGTACAGATAAACTTTAAGTTGGTTGAAAATATATAAAACTTACCCTTGTAAAGCTTTATGAATTCGTTCGCACTTTTCCTTCAACACTAAAAAAATACCTGTATGAAAAGAAATGCACTTGATGGTATATCTGGAAGATCTGCTATTACTAATCTAAAAATATTTTTAAAGATTTTTAAAGTTCAAGTTCATCAATTTAAAATGTTGTAAATACTCCTACAGACTACTAGCACACAGACAGGAACACTTCCAAAGGCCCAAGCCCTGGTCTTCGGCACACATGTCCTGGCAGCTCCTCACCCACCTTCAGCAGAATCTGGGATGAGGTTTTCCACAACAAAACAATGGCTCTTGTTCTCATCAGGTTCTACAAATAATCTGGCTAATAAAAGGGTATAAATATATTACTTATTTCTGGACCCTTAACAATTTGGTAAAAGATAGACACTGTAGTATGTTTACTACCTTTCCCTGGATATTTTCACTTTATTCATGGAAAATTAAAAAAACTAAAACATCTAAGCAAGAGGCAGGAGTGCCAGGCCTTCTCACAAGCAAGCATATGAATGTGCACCCAGAAACATTCACATTTCCTGATTCTCTGAATTAAAACCATTAAGAATTTAGAAATTTTAAAAATTCTAAATTTAGAAATACCAAGTAAGGCTTGCTTTTCATTTCTGTTTTAGGCTTTGTGAGGAGTACTATAACAGCCAAAAGGCACATTTGAAATTTAGTCAAATTGGCCCATTAAGGAAGCTTTAACGGTTGGTAACCGGGTTTGGCTTTAGTACCAACTCATCAGTCAAAGGCTGAAGGAAAAAAACCGGATAAGCTACAAATTATATGTACCGAGAATCAGCAGCACACTTCAGCTAACTTCTCCAATGACAACTAGCCCAGAGCTGACTCCTCCTCCTGGCACTGCCGCCCATCCTGGGAGCCAGCCCCACTTTGGCTCTGGCTTGTCTCCTGGGAGGAGAGAAGCTCTCCACTGAATTCCTGAGGCAGGACGATGTCTTCACTGTCATTCTCCCTATAAACGCCAGGTAATGTCATTCAGAGGCACAGCTCTGTGTGGTCAACACTTTCCCTCCAGCTAATTACTCCAAAAGAACGCCAGCAGCCTGGCTGACGTCACCGCGATGCCTGGTGTCCTGGGTTCAGAAGATTATACCTGGATTCTCCTCCATGATGTTGAGAGCCTCGATGGCAGCGGCAGCCAACAGCGGGGGTAACGAAGCTGAAAAGCAGTACCCCTGGCCGGAAAGTCTCTAAGAAGAAATGAACAAGTTAAAGATATAAATACACTTTTTTTTGGCCTAAAAACCTAAAGGCACCAGATCTGCAACACCTCCAAACAGTGTGTACAAATGGTAAGGTGGTAATATCCACAAGTGTATACAAGTCATACTTGTAACACAAATAAGGCTTTATTTTTTTTTTTTAATTTTT